CTGGAACAAAATAACTGATGTTTTATTTGCAATATATTTCATGAATTCTTTTGTTGTTACTTGTTGTTACATGTTACTTTTATGTGAAATCAATAAACTGTTATTTAAGCAATGGCATCAGTTTCATTTTTTAAAAACACACATTAAAACATTGAATTTGTGCAGAACTTATTTACATGGTAAGTATTTAAACCCCATGCCTAGCATACTGATATACATTTAGACAATAACACAACTGAATGTAGAAAATGACAAATGGTATTTTTGATGTTATAAAAGCTCAATGTCACTTATGATTTTAAAACGATTTAGTGATTTACTTTATAATTTTGATAAACAATTTTGTTGAATCTGAATAGTAATATAGTAGTATAATTAAACAGTATTATTAACATTCAACATTTGCAATGAATTTGAATTATCAATAACTGAAACTCAACTATCAGCACTCAAGTACCAGTTCTGTAATCAAGTATTGTCAGCTGGGAAGGAAGAAATGCAACTGTAGTGGCCTCAGCTGCAGGTCATTTTCCATAAGTTACTTGTACTGGCACTGGTGTCTTGGGAAAAATCCATCTTGTCTCACTTAACCCATTTTTTAACTAATGCTGTGTTCTGGTAATTTGACAGCATACATGCTACTGCAAACAGTTGGTTGATATTGTAAACATGTGATATGGTAATGATGCTATCAATAAGTTTGTTCTGTTTGATCCTCCTAATGACTCGCTCCACATGTACCCTGAGTCTGGCTATGGCCTGCGTCTCCTTAACCTGGTATGCTGGCATCTGCTTCTGCTTAGATAGAAAAGGTGGGCAGTACACTTTGCATTTACAACAATTGGTGATTAGGAAACCCTTATCTACGGTCACTGCCATGTCTTCAGTCAACTTCTCAGCAATGCCTGATTGTTTGAATAGTTCCTTGTCACTAACCGAACCAGCATACAGATTAGAGATGAATGTCACTGGACCATGTGGAGCTATGCCAACCAGGGCTTTCATCGTACAGTGGGATTTGTACGAAGAGTACATTTCACTTTGGAGAAGTGGTGAGGATGGTGTCTGACACCTCAGCTCTGTACAGACAAGGATCATCTGGGTGTCTGAGAAATCTTTGAATTCAGTTTACTCAGGGAGGTAAGCTTGCACTTCTTCACGTGTAAGCCAAATGCATTGAGACCCCAGTGCAGTGGCAAGAAAATTTGTCCATGTTGCAATAATGCGGCTCACTGTGGACTGGTGTATGTTAAATTGGTGTGCCAGGTCCCTCTCCTTCAAACCAACTGACAGGAAAACCAGGAAAAGAAAAAACTCGTAATTTGGCTGTAGCAGCTGCCCCTGGAAGGTGAAAACAAAAGGGAAAATGTTACTCCTTAAGCTATGAACTAGTAAAATTATGCTTTTCTTGGCTAAATGTTTTGTAATGGTTATGCATACCATACTGTACCATGGGGTAAACAATGAGGTGCTGTAGTACACAGGTGTATGTATGTAAAGGATACTGAGTCTAGCATACATACACCTGTGTATGTATGCTATTGTACATCATGTAATGTTATTGTACATAAATACAATAACATTACACCTCTAGTTCTAACTACCAACAAACCCATAACCTACTGTTGATGTGCGTGCAGGTGTCAACACTTCTTCGTTCCGATTGGCAGCTGACTTGGCTCTTGAAACCCGGATCATTTTATAGATGCAAGGCTCAATCAAAAACCAAAATGCCATCAAATGATCATAGCTTGGAAATCTATTCACGAGAGAGACAAACATCGTGTCAATCATTAATTAACATTACACACTGACATAAAAATAATGTAAACTGTGACAAATACGCTAATGGTATGCTGTATAAAATAGTCTGATTAAGAGTCTATTTGGTGTTGTATTTTACCTGTAGCATTAGGATATCGTTTAAATACTAAAGCATCTACATAAAACATACAATCAGCAGAGAAAAAGTAAATATCTATTTTGTTTTCATTAAGACTGGAAAAACTTTCGAAATTTAACTGATGGTGACCTTGGTATATTTTAAACAGTTAGCTTGAATAGAACTTAGGTGTACCTGGTATAGAATTGGATGTCAGTGTTGGAGCCAGCAAAATGCTGTAACCCAAATTCTCGCTGGACACGTAACTCCTGTATTTCCTTCCTCTGAGTCTCCACGTCTTTGGACAGGTCTTCTGCAGCTGATGCAGATATGTCCAATGCAGACGGCTCAGGGACTGAGCAGTAGTCATGATCTCTTGTAAGACTGTGCTCTTCTTGATCGTCAGGAGGAACTAGTTCAGGGCGTCGCTCCGTTCTCTCCCAAACACTACGCCGCGGTGGTTCAACTTTATAGCCATTCCACTCAAAAAGTGTTGGTACAGCACCTTTAATAAGCCGCCTTTGACCATCGAGGGTTGTTGGTTCTATGAGTTGATCACTGGCAAAGTGTCTGCAGCAGACCCTGGTGTGAGAGGTAATCGTGAAATGATCCCGGCGTATGTTTACCAGCCATTGTCTTCTCAAGTCAGAATGGGTCGGAAAGGCATGAAAACTTAGTATGCCGTTAAATTTGGCTGAAGCCGAACAAAGTGGGACACAGCAATGCTCGGAGTATTTCTTCTCCTGTTTTTGAAAATGTTCTGTTTTAAATACTTTCCTTTTTATACTCATTCTGAAGCGACATTAGCATAGCAACCGATAGATAAACAAACATACCGGAAACGCCCAAGCGGTAGTATTTGGAAACGGAAATATGTCACATGCCCTAGTGCAAGTAGTCCATTCAGTAATCCTGGCCTCCAGAGCTGCAAATATGCTACATTTGTTACAAGTATCATTACTGCTAAAGGAGGCCGAGGAGTAACTAAACATCTGACACAATGAGCAGGAAAGTGCAGGAAGGACAGGTGAAGTAGCCATGGTGGTAACGATTTGGCTACGAGCTAAGCTAAGCTAGTAAAGACACAGTGAGTGAATACTTTGGCTATACATTAGGTAGTGAGTACACAGAAAGTGTGCTTCGGATGAAGCACGTGAAGATTATGCTATGAAAAAAGAATGTATTATGTAAGTTTTTAATTAAACTGCTAAGCAGATAAGCTACTCAGAAACACCACTGTGTTTAAGCAGGAACAGGAAGTGATACTCTACCGCAGAGCGAGCGAACTTGTCACACTAGCAATGCCTTCCAGAAGCCATGCATATACTGTGAAAAACTGCATACAATGGCAAAATGTCAAATGGTCAGAAACAAGCCTTATAAAGAAAGACTAGAGTTCCTTAAAGCAAAGGGTCTGTGCTTTGCATGTCTGACACAAGGTCATTTGAATAAGGACTGTAAGAAAAGGTCATTGTGTGAATACTGCTCTAAGAAACATCCAAGTATGCTTCATTGGACAAGGGAGGAGGACATTAAGGTAAGAAAACAAAATTCATGCTTTGCACAATGGGGCAGGAAAAGTTGGTGACAAGCTACCACCTATCAGGATTAGAAGTGTGTGGTTTGAATGAGAACACCTATATAGATCTTCCTGATATTTACACTCATGCAGACATTCCAGTGTCTAGAGAGAACATCCCTACACAGGATAACTTAAAAAGGTAGCCACATCTTCAGCAAATCAAGTTCCCACATTTAGATGCAGACATCGGACTTTTGATAGGGTGTGATGTGCACAAGGCTATGGAATCATGGGAGTTTATTTATAGTGAAGATAATGGTCCATATGCTATTCAAACAGTCCTGGGTTGGGTTATCAATGGCCTTCTCAAGAGAGATTCTTGCTCTACTCCTTCTGACAGAGAGCTGAGTGTTTCAGTAATTTGCATCTCTGTCACTAATGTCGAGAAGAATACAAAATGATGGTGCACTTGTTTTGGGCTACAACCTCCCCAAGCTGTGCAAACTCTGCACTGAAGAAAGCAGCAGAAGACGCTCAAGAAAAAATGCCACTAGCAGCAGTTAACGCTGTTCTGAACAACTTTTATGTAGATAATTGTTTTCTCTCGCTTTCAGATGGAACAGAGGCATACACTATGGTTATGGACCTGAGAGCATTGTGTGAGAGTGGAGGATTGCACTTAACAAAGTGGATGAGCAACAGCAGAGTTGTTCTTGCTTCTATTCCTGGAAAGAAAAGAGCAAAAGAGATTAAAGATCTGGATTTGAGACATGATGCACTACCTGATGAAAGAGTCCTAGGAGTGAACTGGTGCATAGAGACAGATGTATTTAAGATCAGGATAAATGAAAAACTTATGGCAAAGACAAAGCAAGACATTTTCTCATTTGTAAGTGCAATATGTGACCCGTTGGGGTTTCTATCTCCCGTCATTCTGCCAGCAAAAATCATCCCGCGAGAGCTATGTGGCAAGAAGATCTCATGGGATGAGGAAATCCCAGCTGAACTGGCTCAAATGTCACAATTTGGCATTTAGAGCTTTCAAAACTTCATGGGTTTACCATCAACAGGTGTTTAAAACGTGCTGGATTTGGAGCGGTCATATCTGCACAATTGCACCACTTCGCTGATGCCAGTGAGAGGCACTATGGAGTCGTTACTTACCTCCATATCACAAACCAGAAAAGAGAAACTCACTGCTCATTCATCATTGGCAAGTCCAGATTGTCTCCTCTGAAGCAAAAAATAATTCCACATCTTGAACTGACAGCAGTTGCAGTTGCTATAAAAATGGAGCTGCAAATGCCACAAGAAGATTCTGCGTTTTGGTCTGACAGTACAACTGTTTTAAAGTACATTTCCAGTGAGAACATCATGTTTAAGACATTTGTAGCAAATAGAGTGTCACTTATTAGAGACAACACAAAACCAAGTCAGTGGATGTATGTAAACTCTGAATTAAACCCTGCTGACCACTCAAGAAGAATGAACACAAACACATTTATGATGTTTCCAAACTGGATTGCTGGGCCAGAGTTTTTGACAATAGACAAAAAAAACTCGCCAATTCCACCGGACATTAAAAAAATACAAAAAAGGATTTTGAAGTTAAGGAGGTAATGCATGTGGATGTTACAGAAATACATAAAAATCAACTAAACAAGCTGATCTCTCACTATTCAGATTGGCACCGTCTAAATAAGGCAGTTTCCTGGATAGTCATGTTTAAGCAGCTGCTTCGCAGGCTAAGAGCACATTGGAAGCTTCTCATGTCACAAGTAAGTGGCTGTGAAAGCAGCCAAAGGAAAGCTGAAAAGGTTGCAGATCAAATGCAACAGTTCAAATCATGTATTAAGGGATCTTCACTCATTACTGCAGATGCTGCAATAGGAGAAACTGAGATTGTTACGTTTTGTCAACATCAAAACTTCGCAGATGAACTTGCAAGTCTTCATAAAGGTGACAAGCTTAAAAGGAGCAGTCACATTGCAAAGCTGGATCCTTCTGTCCAGGATGGAATTTTAAGGGTTGGCAGTAGTTTGCATGAGTCAGCACTACCAGCTGATGTTAAGCATCTAGTGATCCTTCCTAAAAGTCATCATGTTTCTACTTTGATTCTGAGACACATTCACCATGAAACAGGTCATGGAGGAAGGAATTACACATTATCCAGGCTGAGAGAAAGATTATGGATTCCACAGGCAGATTCAGCAATAAGAAAGATCCTGTCAAAGTAACATGTAGAAGGACATCTGCAAAACCTGGTGAACAAAGAATGGCAAACTTGCCACAGAATTGCCTGATGCCTGACAAACCTCTATTCACAAATGTGGGCATAGGCTATTTTGGACCTTTTGAAGTCAAATAAGGACGTAGCAGAGTTAAGCGATATGGTGTATTGTTTATATGTCTTACTGTTAGAGCAATACACATAGAAGTTGCCCACTCACTCGAGACTGATTTCTGCATAAATGCATTCAGGAGGTTTATTGCAAGACGAGGTCAGGTGTCTGTCATGAGATCAGACAATGACACTAACCTTGTGGGTGCACAAAAGGATGCGTGAAGCAATCAAGGGATGAAATCACTCCAAAATCTTTGCTCATGCAGGGCGCAAATAACAACCTGTCAACCTGTTTGTTGTTGCATGCTGCTGAAAGGCAGTGAGGAGAGGGGACACTTGGGCAGTGCATTTATTGCAGCATATAATGTGTTTTCTGGATACACTGTGCTTTTTCAGCATTCAAAGATTGATGGCACTGTGTCAGAGCACTGGCTATGAATTTCAGACGGATCAGGCCTTAACTTAACAAAAAAAGTTATCAATAGTTCTTTTCATCTTTTCTTATTACCCACAGCTACATCCACTTCTGTCGGGTGTAGGCTACTCACTAGGGCTGGGTATCATCACTGATTTCTATAATCCATTCGATTCCAGATCTCAAAGTCCTGATTCGATTCAACACAGAGCCGACCCCGCTCTGTGTTTAAGATAATCATCATCGTCATATTATTATTATGACGATGATGATGATCTTATGTTCCAGTTTATTCTGATTTTGTGTTTGGGTTTAGACTTTTTAGGCTTTTGGTTCTCTGCTCCCTCTGTTTAGTGTCTGCTCATGTGTTCCTTCTGTTCTCCGTCTGTACCGTGCCCCGGCTTGGACAGTCTTGGTCATTGTGTCCTTCACCCGTTGCCTACTGGTGGTGGCGCCAGTGTCCGGCAGCCTCGCCTCTGTCAGTGAGCCCCAGGGCAGCTGTGGCTACAATGTAGCTGCCATAATGTGTGCGTGAATGGGTGGATGACTGGATGTGTAAAGCGCTTTGCGGTCCTTAGGGACTAGTAAAGCACTATACAAATGAAGGCCATTTACCATTTTTTTGTGGAAATTTTAACAATAACCTGCAACACACCCAGTGAGCTTGATTTGAAGTGGGTTTAATAAACACATTGCAATGTGGAGAGAGCATCCCAGTAAAACACTAGGACCATCTCTGAATTGTGGCCACCGCCCTTGCTTCTTAGGCTACGTTCACACTGAAAAATCTGACCTTTTTGACCCTTTGACCCACTACTAGAGCGCGTTTGCTGTCACATTTTATTTGTAGTGTGAACAAGCAGACAACGTGATCAGGTGGGCAGTGATATAGGGGCCAAGAGTAGAAGGGTGATGGATAACACCATTGTTAAAGTAAATTGTTAAATGTTGTCATTTTTATGCTTATCATCTCTACATTGTTTAACTCTGTGATGAAAGGAATTTCCTTTTTGTCCCACTCCCCAGATCCAGGTTCTGGGTGGGGGGCTGTAGTCTTTTATTACAAAAACATCCTTGTGAAGGTCTTTTTGATGTTGGTAATCTTCCTGCCCAGCAGGAGGTCACACACACACACACACACGCATTCTCGCATAACACACACACACACACATACAGTGCCTTGTCTTTGTAACCAAGAGGGATTACAGGGGGAGGTGTTTGTAAACTATTGTGTGAACGTTCTCAATAAAAGGCAGCGAGAGGAAGCCGGATTTCGGGTCATTTTCGTGGTAGACACCGACGAGGCCTCCCTTGCAAGTAAATCGATCGATCGCTGACTGTCTTGTTTTCTTCATGACGAATAAGTCTCTAAACCAGCGGGGCTTGTGGAAACATGGACCCAACAACCATGGTTGGAAACTGCTGCACACATTGTGGTGTTCCCCCCCCGCTGGCCAGGGACTTCAACAATGGCATGGTGGCCAATGGCGTTCCTTGCCCATCTTCGTCT